TATATTCTTCATTAGTTGTCCCTATAGGGTTTGACACAAATTTTAAGAGGAAAATAATAGATATAATGTAAAAGGTGTAGTGCGTTGTGTTTAAATGAAAAAAGTAGGAAATAGAATGAAAAATAAAAATGATCTTAAATAGGAGTACCTTTCAAAAAAAAAATCCTAAATAGGAGTAAAAGTAGGGAGTATATACTCATGATATCGTTAAGAATCTTGATTGGGATGAGGCTCCTCAATGTGCGGCAGGTTCTTGCTCAAGAAAAATACGGAGTAGCATTTCTTAAATTCATTATTCATACCTAACAAAACTGTGGGTAATCATTTGGGGCAATTTATACCGTACACCCGGGCGTACGTACACCCGGTATATTTGTCTTGATCCTCAATGAAAATGTCTTGATCCTCAATTAAAAAAACTTATGATTTTCATATCAATGCTCATTTTGTAAGTTACATATGCTCAATTTATACTCATATATGCTCATTTTTAAAATGTCATATCAATGTATATTTCAAATGTACTATATTACATTATATTCACATATTGAAGTTTCATAGGAGTTGATTATAGATATAATTTAATAATTATTATAAAAGAAAAAATAAGAAAAAGAAAGTGAATATAAGATATGAAGCAGAGATCTCGATGCTCAATATCAGACTCTTAATACTCAACAGAATTGGTCAGATGCTCAGTAAAAGTTCACTAATGCTCATTTAATAGAAACCATGAATGTCGTGATTTTCAACTAACAAACTTTACAGTTTTCATATCAATGCACATTGTGTAAGTCACATAATCTCATTTGGTATTGATTTTATGCTCATATGTAAAACGTCATATCAATGCATATTTAAAAAGTGTCATATTACATTAAATTCGCATGTCACGATTTCTGGTGAATGAGCGTTGATGCAATTTTAATGAGCATCAAACCTATTATGTTGAGTATTAGGAGTCTAATTATTTTGAGATATGCATTGATATAACATTTTAAATTGAGCATAGCACTAATACAAAATGAGCATACATTACTTACCAAATGAGCAAAGATATGAAAATCATAAGCTTGATTAGTTAAGCATCAAAACATTTTCATTGAACATCAAACCGCCTTTATTGAGTATCAAAAACATGCAATTGCGTATCATGATTGTCTTTACTTCCATGTATATAATTTAAATCTTATGCGAATCTAATATGATAATTTTGAAATATGAATTAATATGACATTTTAAAATGAGCATAAAATCAGCACCAAATGAGCATACATAACTTACAAAATGTGCATCGAAAATCAAAAGCTTGCTTGAATTTCCTAATGTGTTCAAATGTTCATTTGTGCACACATGATGGCAATGAAATAATTTATATAAAAAATAATTTATAGTCGTTTGTTCTCGAATTACAAATATAATCGAGTTCTTTTTATAATTTTTTACTCATGCATACTTATTTTACACCATACTCATTTTAGTATAACACAAAACTCACGTTTGTAACTATCACACAATATTTATTAAACTAATAAATATTCATCTTAAATTAAAAATAGAGAAAGAAAACATTAATAAATAAAATATTTTATAATAGATAAATAAAAAACTTAAGCTGGAAGTTTGATTGGAGAAAGAAAAAAATAATCTGAAATATTTAATAATATTTATATTTTACATTTTCATAATAATTGAATATAACATTAAAATAGAAGGTTGTTAAAATAAAAAAAAAGAGAACAAACAATAAAAGAAAAGAAAAGAAGAAACGAGAATTGAATAAGCAAAAAAAAAACAATGAATGAAGACGTGCATGAACTGGCTGGGATTGAGTGGAGTACGGGTGGATAAGGACGAGTGGAGTACTGGGCGGAGTAGTGCATGCGGCTGGATAAGGAAACATTTCAGCCTACTAATTACAAAAAACCCGGATGTACCTGTACACCCGGGTGTAGGATATACGAACTCGTTATATCCGAGCATGGGCTTGAACAGACCTACAACATAGCCCGACTAGCGGAAATTAGTCGGTGTTATTCAATTATTTATCAGGCCAGTTGGCCCATTAATGTCAGTTTTAGTTCATAAATTGGGCCAAAGTCATGTACTACCTCCGTTCCTAATAAAACTTCCAAATAGGTTGGACACACAGTTTAAGATAGTGGATATTGTATGGTGAAGAGTTGTGCAGAGGAGAGAGAAATGTGTAAGAAATGTTGTGAACCACAAATTCTTTACCAAAAAGGGAGAATGTAAGTTTTAATTGGGAGTTGGGATGGACTAGAAAGTAAAGTTGGAAGTTTGTTTAGGGACGGAGGGAGTAGAATTTAATTGTTGTACTTGTTGTAAACGTCTATAAATAGGCCATCTACCCTCATGTAATCACCTACATACACTACTTTTATTGTAGTGAAGTGTTGTCACTTTCTCTCCCAAACTATTTTCTACCCAAAAATACCCCAAACAAATGAATAATACATACTCCGTATTTGATTTACAAAAGGAATTAATTATACGATTTATACTTTGAGCCCGTATGGTAGCACGAAAATCAGTTGTTTTGACTGATTCTGCTGAAATTTCTGAAGTTCTGGCTGAAGTGACTGCATTGACTGATTCTGTTAAAAAACAATCATTTTAAAAACATATTTTATTAATAAAATAAAGAAAAAATTATATGTAAAAATAGCTAAAATTGTCATCTACAGTAACTTCAGCCAAAACAGCCAGAAAAGTAACTTCAACCTTACTTTTTCTGCTTATTACACAAATCAACGCGCGAAAGTAAAAATTACGTGTTTGGTGAAAAAGTTGGTTGATAAGCCTGATAATCCGAAAAACAGTGCTACCAAACAGACTCTTTATACCCATTTCATTTACGGGAAACAAGCAATACTCTAGATCTCCAAGTGTTTGAGGGTTTCTGATCTTATTGTGTCCTCGACTAGTATGTTTGATGTTGATGCTCATTTAGAAATGAAAAAATGATATGGAGTATCAACTACACCATTCCTTCATTACATGGGAATTGAACACGCTATAAGAAGAAACATGGGAGACAAATTTGGAACAAGAAAAGCATATCTTGCGAAGATATACATTTTCAAAAATCAAAAGATGTAAGGCTCACATTAATTCTTTTTAAGTTGGGATACATGGTTTCAACTCCCTGTTTTCTAAAACAAGACATACTTTAATCACTACTCCTTCCGTTTCTTTTTCTTTGACATAGTTTGACAAGTCAACATTTAAGATTTTTTTTCTAAGAGGTAAATTTTACTGTTCGAACACTGTTTGGACATTATTTGACACTGTTTGGAATTGTTTTGCACTGTTTTGTTTACCAAATGGGAAGTGTGACATTCATTTTGAAACGTCCAAAAAAAGGAAAGTGTGTCAAAGAAAAAGAAACTGAGGGTACATTTTTGCCTAGGAGCAAACCATGGAACATGTCACACTTTGATCGTTATGCGTATTACATTATGAGACAAACTAAGTCGCATTATACGTATTACATGATATGGTTTGTTTAATACTACAGATTAATCGTAAACATTATTTTTCCTTCAGGAGCCCATACAATTGGAGCAACACATTGCATGAACGTTAGGAAACGTTTGTTCGATCCGGCGGCCCGAGAAGGAACCGAAATTCCGGCTGATTTATTGGCGTTGCTAACGGTAAATTGTCCGTTAGGATCATTAACCTCGAATGTGTCATACCTCCCAAATGACCAGACCCCTACGATCTTTGACAACCGTTACTATGCTAACACAATGAGACGGCGGGGCGCCATAAATATCGATGCGGTGATGCCGTTAGACCCAAGGACCGCTGGCCATGTACGGCGTTTTACGGCTGATCAGGATGACTTTTTCCGGGCATTCTCCTCCGCCTTTGTCAAGCTATCATCTTCGGAGGTTCTTACGGGAAAAAAGGGTGTGATTAGGAGGACTTGTAACTACTTATAATAGGAAACACTTCCTTCTTGTCTTTGTCTCCACCATCCACGTCAGCAAACGCCGGAAAAGAAGCAATGTTTTTTGAAAATCCGCCCAATCTATCAAATCGGCGGAAGAACTAAAACCCTAACTAGAAGGACAACAACCGCTTTCATATGATATTGAAACGGAATAATGAATAACGAGGCAGTGAGACCAAGGGCAGACTGGCAGAGCCGGCGAGCCGTAGAGGGACAACTTGGACGGCAGGAGAACATTCTATAGTTTTTATTTGTAAAATAAATAATATTGCATCTGGTAAAATTTATTTTTAATTGCATCCTCATACATGTTTTGTGTATCTTAAATTAGACACTTAGCACAATAAAGTTACAGTTGTGAAAAACTATGTGATCATGTGCCTAACATAACATGTTATATAAAGTTTGAGGTATATATTACATGTGCAAGTTTGAGTAATATCACACACTTCTTCAAAGTTTTGAATATTTAAATGGTTTACCCATAAATTAAAGCACCAAAAAAGATTCTCCACTTTTTTTGAAAGGGAAAAAGATTCTCCACTTTAATTGAAAGAATAGTATCAATCCAAGACCTGAAAGATAAACGAATTATCAATCTGGGACCTGAAAGATGAAATGTTTCGATATAGGACCCGAATGATTAAAACTATCAATTTAGGACATGAATGATTGAAAACTATCAATCTAGGACCTAATTAAGTAGTCATGATTATTAATTTATTATTGAGGTAAGGGTTAGATTGGTACTCGAAGTTGCATAAAAAGTGTCAAATAAGTCCTTATTGCCCGGCCGTCCCCATTTGAGGCGGTTCCCGATGGAATTTTTTGATGATTTTTTTAGTATCTTATTCATTAAGTCTAGTGTACTCATACCAAATTTCAGCTAAAACTTCTATCGGGAAGGCATTCCAATGAATTCTTGAAGATAATTGCGCTTTTAAGTGCGCAGTAATCTTCAAGAATTCATTTGAATGCCTTCCCTGTTGAATTCTTAGCTGAAATTTGGTATGAGTAAACTAAACCTAATGAATAAGATGTTCAAAACATTTCGTAAAAAAATTCAACCGGGAACCGACCCAAATGACGACGGCCAGGCAGAGCCTCCTATATAATGTCACGCCCCAGACCGCGTCTGTGGCACGTGGACAACCGTCGTACAACCCAATAAGAATAACCGCAGTTCATCCTTACCGAATTGAACAAGACGTTCGATAGATACATATGCCAAAACCGATTAGTAAACATACATAACAACATCAACATACAATTAAACACATTGCGGAATATAAGTGTTTAATAAGAACCCACACAAGGGTAAAACAAGAGCTCGCAGGCTCTAGTAATTTATAAGTCAAAATAGTTCCATGAGCATTATTTAATTATTTAGAAATAGAACCAGAGGAAGCACGAACCACGTCTTCTCTCCATCGATCTCCCGAGCAACGGGTGCATGAAGTAAGCTCTAGCTTCAACCTGAAAGGGTGGTTCCCCCGAGGGATCAGTACTACAGAAAAGTACTGGTGAGGGCAAACTGTATGTAATGTAACTAACGTTTCTCACGTGAGACCCTCAAAATAGGGTGATAGTATAATTATGGGCATAACTCAGCTACCCCTTTTCAAAACAAAATGTATACATATATACATATGAGTAAAATATCTGGCTCGTGGGCCCATTTGTCCTTCAAATCATTTAGGCGTGACAGCCTCATTAAATTCACCCTTCCCGTATCTCACCCTCGAGTGGAGTCACCCGCAGGCTAACTCACCCGATATCAAAATATAATTACTGTGGGTCCATTCAGACTCCCATATCACGGACGTGGTTTAAATCAATTCCTAGACCAAGGAAAATATCATATCGGAAACTCGTTCCCGATCAAGCACGTTTAATCATTTAACATCATTACCTTGATGTTCACCTACCGCGAGGACTATCCGTCCTTGCTATCATAGTTTTCATTTCTGGGATAACCCCGCCTTGAGGAGTACGCATACACCCTCATCCTATGTGTAATTTACTGGAGGTTAACACACCTCAAGGACTACACGGGCCCTTGTTACCTATGTGTAATTTGATGGAGGTTAAACACACCTCAAGGACTACACTTGCCCTTGTTACCTATATGCACTTTGATGGAGGTTAACACACCTCAAGGACTGCATTTGCCCTTGTTACCTATATGCAATTTGATGGAGGTTAAACACACCTCAAGGACTGCATTTGCCCTTGTTACCTATATGCAATTTGATGGAGGTTAAACACACCTCAAGGACTGCATTTGCCCTTGTTACCTATATGCACTTTGATGGAGGTTAACTCACCTCAAGGACTGCACTTGCCCTTGTTACCTATGTGTAATTTACTGGAGGTTAACACACCTCAAGGACTACACGGGCCCTTGTTAACGTTTGAGTGTAGAGGACTCCTCCTGGTCCTACAGAGTATTACTTAACTTTACTTGGTCCCGGGTATTCACCCGCCATGTATAATCTACCACGTACCTCGCCCAGTCGTGGTCTATAATTTCTTTACTAACGACTAGTCCAAGTCTTAGCGTTTAAACCGTATTCCAAAGCTTATCATTTTAAACATCATATTTCATGCAATTCCATGCAAAATATTCATATATAGGATGGCTAGAATTTATCCCACGTCGAACCGGGTCCGATTTGGGTTTTTAGCAAAAATCAGTCCTGAAAGCCGAGACATAACCGGCGCCGGTTTTACCCATAACCGGCGCCGGTTTACTGATTTTTTTTTGTAGTAAACCGAACCATAACCGGCGCCGGTTTTGCCTATAACCGGCGCCGGTTATCCCTTGGGCAACCGGTCAACATTTTGGTCAACGCCCGTTTGACCATCCAAACGGGGTCCGATTTCCACGAAATTTTATACGCTTATGAAACAAGTCATTCTTAGTCCAAAAATATCATTTTAGACTTCCAAATCATCACACATAATTTATAATCATTTTCTGTCCAAATTAAAGCATATTAAGTATACTTATTAATACTATTAATAAGTAATCTTGTCACAATACATTCTTAGATGCATTTTATCATTCAATGTAATATCATTCTGCCTCTTTTGAGTGATCTCATGCCTAATCCCTTAGCATGACTCATGATCCTCTCTCAAAACATTTTATTCATACCATTAATTAATTAATCATTAATTATGTCATATTTCCATAAACCATAATTAATATGGCTAATCACAATGTCACATATCTTTTTAGATATTACATTTACTAGATTACTCTAGTTAGTCACATGCATAGTCCAAGTATATCTTCTTATACATTTAAGAAATATATACTCATGATTAATTAATTAATCAATCTAATTTTCATTAATCATATAATACTTCCATAATCCATATTTAATATGGATAATCACAAGTTCACATATATTTTCATGTATTCATTCACTAGATTACTCTAGTTAGTCTCATACATAGTCCAAGTATACCTTCTTATTCATTTAAGAAAAGTATACTCATGATTAATTAATAAATTAATCTATTTTTCATTAATCATGTTCACCATGACTAATCATGCATTTTAATACATTTAATCATTCCTCAAATCATGGTTATGATTTTATTTAGGTAATCTCACGTTTGAACCAAGAGTTACAAGACACGTAGTCGTCCACTCACCTTGAAATGACGCTAGCAAGCTTTTATCCTCTTTGTTTGAACTCCGGCGACCTTTGAATTTTCCGGCGAATACTCCGGCGGCTCCGGCGACTTTCCGACCACTCCTAGATTCCTTGAGAAGTCTAGAATGCCTCGGTAAAATTCCTAACAAGGTTTCACAACCAAAAGTGGTATAAACAACAAAACCTTCCGAGAAGGTGTTTTCCGGCAAACCGGTCTTACTCCGGTCATAACTCCGTTCATGGTTAAACTTAACCCTCCAAACCCTCATTCTACACCTCTATAAGTGTAGAACAAGTTTAAGGGTCCATCATATGATTTATAAAATCATATGAGACTAAATGGAGGATTAAAAATGTTAATGAGATCATTACCTTAATAAATCAAGGTTTTTCTCTTCTTTTCTCACTCTTTCTTCTTCCTTGGACCTTCTTCAACCTTGAGCTCGGTTGTAGCTATGGAGGTAAGCATTTGCAGAGCTCTTCCCTCTCTCTTGGGTAGGTTTGGCCGAAATAATGGGGGTGTGGGGTGTGAGGAGATAGGTTTTGGCCTTTAACACCAAATGAGGTGGAGAGGGTCCCCTTTCCTTTCTAATTAATTCTCATGCATCCCCCCATCACTCTCCAGCACTTCAACATGGCTCTCCTCACTCATTTGAGACCATAAGTCGTGGGGTGGCCCCCACTCATGTGGGAGGTCATCCCTTTATGTCCAAAAGTGTACAATCGGTACCGAAAGTTGTATTTTCCGGACTGTTTTAATTAAATTTCATTTTATCGGGTCAAATAAAATATATATCATTCTTCCAATTAATATTGGCCTCTAGAATGAATATATATTATCCCACTTTAATTTCGTGGTCGCCGAAATTAATTTCGGGCTGTTATCTGTTTAATTACTAATACCGGTAATGGGACCTCGTTTGATCGAAAGGCCAACTTTATGGCTCAACATTTATTTACAACCTCATGTAAATATTATATTATTATCTAGACCAAGATGGATATAATATGTGATCCGTAAATATCGGATGGTCCCCGCCCATGTGTGGGCCCAACGTGCATTTTACTGTTCAAATAACAGTAAAAATGAGAACACGTTGCTTTAAAAATTCATTCATCATCCCAAATGACTAAATATGTGTTTTCATATTTTGTGACACTTTAATAAAATGTCACACTTATTTTTAAGTGGCCCGAACTGTATGAACAGATAAAATCTTATCTGTTTATTCTTATACGAAAATATCTTCAAGGTAGGGTCCTCCAAACGTACCCACCTCTAATATGTCAAATTACTCATTATTATTCATCGTCCCAATATTTTGGGTTCTTAAAATATTTGTATTCCCTCTTTATTAATTTGTAGCCTTCCGAATTATTATCAGTCTGATAATTAAAGACTCACAATTATCGGATAATGACACCGGCCCGCTTGGCCGTCTAGTTGTCATTCTTTATATTACCGGGGTCCATGACCCATCCATATTATCATAATAGTATCATTTTGATAAACATTAATATTTTATAAACTCGAAATATCATGAGTGGTCCCCACGCCTAAATTAATAACCATTTATTAATTTAAGACAAAAATTTTACTTTCTCATTCATCAAGACTACTCTTTGTCTTGATTTACCTTCTTTAACCCAGTACTTGATGAAAAATTTTCTCACAGTAAAATTCGGGTCCGGTGTTACAAGTTCACCCCCCTTACAGGAATTTCGTCCCCGAAATTAGCGTCTTAACCTTGAGAAACACTTCTCCTTCATTAATTGAAGCTAACCATTTTCAACATAATAATTTTTTTTTAAATGAAGGGTTTAAATAAATATTACCTTATGTCATAGTCATTCCCACAAATGGCTTCTGTCATTCATCGCCTTCACGAGCGAGTTCTCCCCCGATTGGTGGATGGTAAAACATTTGAAGCAATCCCTGTTGGGTTTGCAACCTCCGTGACTCCCCTGTGGGCCCCCAAGGCTCCTTCCCGTACACGTTGAGGACAAAGAGCCTTTATGTGGCCCGTTTCTCCACAAAAGTAGCATCTAGATAGTTCTAGACATATCCCGTGGTGCCTCCGCCTACAATTCTCACATTTGGGCGCTCCTGTGCCCCGAGTGCTTGAGCTTTGACTTACCCAGTCCTTGCTCCCTTTTGAAAACGGAACTAACTTGCCAGAGTCCCCCTCGTTTTGAAAGTCATACTTCCTCTCTCGTCGCAGAGGATGATTGATCATCTGATCCCTTTCTTGTGTTTCCTTGGCACCCCTTGCTTGCCTTTCCTCCCAAAGCTCCTCCCCCTGGAGTCCCTGTGCTACTACTTGACTAAAAGTCATGTTGAATTGATAGGTCGCCATTTCGCGTACCTCCAAATTCAGTGCATTCCAAAAATGGTTCGCCATTCGATCCTCATTGGCGGCATATTCAGGCAAGAACCTTGCCAAATGTCGGAACCTTTGTTCCAATTGCTTCACCGTAAACTCATTGCCCTGTTTGAGATTTGTATATTCCCTCCTCCTTCGATTTACTTCAAAAGAGGTGTAAAACTGCTCATAGAATGCTTGCTCGAAGTTGTCCCACGTGACAACCCCGTCAAACTTACTCTTGATGCCTTCCCACCAAGTAGAAGCTAAGCCTTCCAATAATCTAGTGGCTACCCTTAACTTCTGTTCAGGGGCCACTTGCATGTCATCGGCTGCATCATTTAACCTTTTTATCCACTCGGCTGCTCCCGAGATATCCCCCGTCCCATCAAACGGTTTGCACCCCAAGGCTCTAGCCTCTTTGAGGTACTTTGAGATCTTAATGAATGGTCCTTCGCCATCAGAATCTCTGACTGTCCTAACATGTGCTCTATGAGCACCCTGACCCCTTTTACGAGAGGTCTCGTCTCTGACATGTCCCGCCTGGGATCTCTGTCGTTGTCTTTCCCTTTCACGCTGGTACCATCGGTACATCTCACTAATTTTGGTCAGGAGGAATATCATGTATATCCTCTCCACTGTTTCCCTCAAAAGAAGTTTCATCTGACTCACCTTCAGGGTGATAAGTTGAGTCATCCTCCGAGTTCCACGACTCGAATTCAGTCACATTGTGATCAGCCATCGTGGCTCGTGTTCGTGGGCCTTGATTGCCCATACCTCGCCTTTTACGCGACCTTGATATCCCCCGATTGGCTTGCCCGGCTATCCCCGGTGCGCGCCCTCTCGGATTTCCTCGAACCGCCCTATCACTACCACCCATTCCTGAAAGAATATGTTGGAATGAGTCTTTGGACTCGTTTGAATGTCAATTGACAGAAACGTACTCAAGACACACCTTGGCTCAAGTCACTGCCATACCAATTGTTAAGGGGCCCGTCTTAACAACCAGAGACTTTGCAACTCGATGACCAAATGCTCTTAAAGTACAAACTTATGCTCATGGTTTTCATTGAAAAATTGTTTTGATAGAAACTCTGTTGAGAGGTTGACTATATAGTTTAGAAATCGTATGGCTCTGATACCACTTAATTGTCACGCCCCAGACCGCGTCTGTGGCACGTGGACAACCGTCGTACAACCCAATAAGAATAACCGCAGTTCATCCTTACCGAATTGAACAAGACGTTCGATAGATACATATGCCAAAACCGATTAGTAAACATACATAACAACATCAACATACAATTAAACACATTGCGGAATATAAGTGTTTAATAAGAACCCACACAAGGGTAAAACAAGAGCTCGCAGGCTCTAGTAATTTATAAGTCAAAATAGTTCCATGAGCATTATTTAATTATTTAGAAATAGAACCAGAGGAAGCACGAACCACGTCTTCTCTCCATCGATCTCCCGAGCAACGGGTGCATGAAGTAAGCTCTAGCTTCAACCTGAAAGGGTGGTTCCCCCGAGGGATCAGTACTACAGAAAAGTACTGGTGAGGGCAAACTGTATGTAATGTAACTAACGTTTCTCACGTGAGACCCTCAAAATAGGGTGATAGTATAATTATGGGCATAACTCAGCTACCCCTTTTCAAAACAAAATGTATACATATATACATATGAGTAAAATATCTGGCTCGTGGGCCCATTTGTCCTTCAAATCATTTAGGCGTGACAGCCTCATTAAATTCACCCTTCCCGTATCTCACCCTCGAGTGGAGTCACCCGCAGGCTAACTCACCCGATATCAAAATATAATTACTGTGGGTCCATTCAGACTCCCATATCACGGACGTGGTTTAAATCAATTCCTAGACCAAGGAAAATATCATATCGGAAACTCGTTCCCGATCAAGCACGTTTAATCATTTAACATCATTACCTTGATGTTCACCTACCGCGAGGACTATCCGTCCTTGCTATCATAGTTTTCATTTCTGGGATAACCCCGCCTTGAGGAGTACGCATACACCCTCATCCTATGTGTAATTTACTGGAGGTTAACACACCTCAAGGACTACACGGGCCCTTGTTACCTATGTGTAATTTGATGGAGGTTAAACACACCTCAAGGACTACACTTGCCCTTGTTACCTATATGCACTTTGATGGAGGTTAACACACCTCAAGGACTGCATTTGCCCTTGTTACCTATATGCAATTTGATGGAGGTTAAACACACCTCAAGGACTGCATTTGCCCTTGTTACCTATATGCAATTTGATGGAGGTTAAACACACCTCAAGGACTGCATTTGCCCTTGTTACCTATATGCACTTTGATGGAGGTTAACTCACCTCAAGGACTGCACTTGCCCTTGTTACCTATGTGTAATTTACTGGAGGTTAACACACCTCAAGGACTACACGGGCCCTTGTTAACGTTTGAGTGTAGAGGACTCCTCCTGGTCCTACAGAGTATTACTTAACTTTACTTGGTCCCGGGTATTCACCCGCCATGTATAATCTACCACGTACCTCGCCCAGTCGTGGTCTATAATTTCTTTACTAACGACTAGTCCAAGTCTTAGCGTTTAAACCGTATTCCAAAGCTTATCATTTTAAACATCATATTTCATGCAATTCCATGCAAAATATTCATATATAGGATGGCTAGAATTTATCCCACGTCGAACCGGGTCCGATTTGGGTTTTTAGCAAAAATCAGTCCTGAAAGCCGAGACATAACCGGCGCCGGTTTTACCCATAACCGGCGCCGGTTTACTGATTTTTTTTTGTAGTAAACCGAACCATAACCGGCGCCGGTTTTGCCTATAACCGGCGCCGGTTATCCCTTGGGCAACCGGTCAACATTTTGGTCAACGCCCGTTTGACCATCCAAACGGGGTCCGATTTCCACGAAATTTTATACGCTTATGAAACAAGTCATTCTTAGTCCAAAAATATCATTTTAGACTTCCAAATCATCACACATAATTTATAATCATTTTCTGTCCAAATTAAAGCATATTAAGTATACTTATTAATACTATTAATAAGTAATCTTGTCACAATACATTCTTAGATGCATTTTATCATTCAATGTAATATCATTCTGCCTCTTTTGAGTGATCTCATGCCTAATCCCTTAGCATGACTCATGATCCTCTCTCAAAACATTTTATTCATACCATTAATTAATTAATCATTAATTATGTCATATTTCCATAAACCATAATTAATATGGCTAATCACAATGTCACATATCTTTTTAGATATTACATTTACTAGATTACTCTAGTTAGTCACATGCATAGTCCAAGTATATCTTCTTATACATTTAAGAAATATATACTCATGATTAATTAATTAATCAATCTAATTTTCATTAATCATATAATACTTCCATAATCCATATTTAATATGGATAATCACAAGTTCACATATATTTTCATGTATTCATTCACTAGATTACTCTAGTTAGTCTCATACATAGTCCAAGTATACCTTCTTATTCATTTAAGAAAAGTATACTCATGATTAATTAATAAATTAATCTATTTTTCATTAATCATGTTCACCATGACTAATCATGCATTTTAATACATTTAATCATTCCTCAAATCATGGTTATGATTTTATTTAGGTAATCTCACGTTTGAACCAAGAGTTACAAGACACGTAGTCGTCCACTCACCTTGAAATGACGCTAGCAAGCTTTTATCCTCTTTGTTTGAACTCCGGCGACCTTTGAATTTTCCGGCGAATACTCCGGCGGCTCCGGCGACTTTCCGACCACTCCTAGATTCCTTGAGAAGTCTAGAATGCCTCGGTAAAATTCCTAACAAGGTTTCACAACCAAAAGTGGTATAAACAACAAAACCTTCCGAGAAGGTGTTTTCCGGCAAACCGGTCTTACTCCGGTCATAACTCCGTTCATGGTTAAACTTAACCCTCCAAACCCTCATTCTACACCTCTATAAGTGTAGAACAAGTTTAAGGGTCCATCATATGATTTATAAAATCATATGAGACTAAATGGAGGATTAAAAATGTTAATGAGATCATTACCTTAATAAATCAAGGTTTTTCTCTTCTTTTCTCACTCTTTCTTCTTCCTTGGACCTTCTTCAACCTTGAGCTCGGTTGTAGCTATGGAGGTAAGCATTTGCAGAGCTCTTCCCTCTCTCTTGGGTAGGTTTGGCCGAAATAATGGGGGTGTGGGGTGTGAGGAGATAGGTTTTGGCCTTTAACACCAAATGAGGTGGAGAGGGTCCCCTTTCCTTTCTAATTAATTCTCATGCATCCCCCCATCACTCTCCAGCACTTCAACATGGCTCTCCTCACTCATTTGAGACCATAAGTCGTGGGGTGGCCCCCACTCATGTGGGAGGTCATCCCTTTATGTCCAAAAGTGTACAATCGGTACCGAAAGTTGTATTTTCCGGACTGTTTTAATTAAATTTCATTTTATCGGGTCAAATAAAATATATATCATTCTTCCAATTAATATTGGCCTCTAGAATGAATATATATTATCCCACTTTAATTTCGTGGTCGCCGAAATTAATTTCGGGCTGTTATCTGTTTAATTACTAATACCGGTAATGGGACCTCGTTTGATCGAAAGGCCAACTTTATGGCTCAACATTTATTTACAACCTCATGTAAATATTATATTATTATCTAGACCAAGATGGATATAATATGTGATCCGTAAATATCGGATGGTCCCCGCCCATGTGTGGGCCCAACGTGCATTTTACTGTTCAAATAACAGTAAAAATGAGAACACGTTGCTTTAAAAATTCATTCATCATCCCAAATGACTAAATATGTGTTTTCATATTTTGTGACACTTTAATAAAATGTCACACTTATTTTTAAGTGGCCCGAACTGTATGAACAGATAAAATCTTATCTGTTTATTCTTATACGAAAATATCTTCAAGGTAGGGTCCTCCAAACGTACCCACCTCTAATATGTCAAATTACTCATTATTATTCATCGTCCCAATATTTTGGGTTCTTAAAATATTTGTATTCCCTCTTTATTAATTTGTAGCCTTCCGAATTATTATCAGTCTGATAATTAAAGACTCACAATTATCGGATAATGACACCGGCCCGCTTGGCCGTCTAGTTGTCATTCTTTATATTACCGGGGTCCATGACCCATCCATATTATCATAATAGTATCATTTTGATAAACATTAATATTTTATAAACTCGAAATATCATGAGTGGTCCCCACGCCTAAATTAATAACCATTTATTAATTTAAGACAAAAATTTTACTTTCTCATTCATCAAGACTACTCTTTGTCTTGATTTACCTTCTTTAACCCAGTACTTGATGAAAAATTTTCTCACAGTAAAATTCGGGTCCGGTGTTACATATAAGGACTTATTTGACACTTTTTATGCAACTTCGAGTACCAATCCGACCCTTACCTCATTTATTATTATTATTATATTTATTTAAAAAAATTAGTTGTATTAAAGTTATAAACTTTTGTGAAGAAAAGTTTATAAAAAAAATAGCAATGGAATTAATAAAAAATTATATAAACCAAAATATATGAAAACCAATGGAACTGATAGTTTCCATCATTATGGTGCTATACCGATACATTTCATCTTTCGGGTCTCAGATTGATAATTCATACTCCCTCCGTCCCCCTAAGTTTGTCCCTTTTTACCTTTTTCGTCCGTCCCACTAAGTTTGTCCCATACCATATTTGGTAACATTTGAGTGGTTAGAATTCATTCTTACTTTATTTACACTTTATCAATTCAATACCAACCACACAATTCCACTTTTTCTTAAAAACCACACCACATCCCTCCGTCCCAAACTTAGGGGGACGGAGGGAGTATATCTTTCAGGTCCTGAATTTATAAAATTCCAAATTAGGTAGTTGTATAAAACAAAACTATATATTCTATATACAGTATGTAATACACATTCATTCATGAATAATTGCAAGGAAAACAGTTCCATTTTTCACTTCGCAATTATATAAAACACATAGCTGATGAATAGTAGCGTATTAGAACTCTTTTGTCAATATTATATTGTAAGTGGTTTAATGCCATACCGAACAAAAAGAAACAATTATAATAGTTATGGTCTTTATTAAATTAACAACACTTACATCATGGTAAAAAAACATTTACATTACAGTTTTTCTTTGGTACAATGTTAGAACACTATCTGGATATTATAAAGTTATAGTACTAAATAGGAATTCTCATGTGCCGCATAGATACATATTTTATTCCACCTAGAAATCTTACCGTTAATAATATTATGAAGCGTTTCAATCATTATGATACTTTGTTTATGTATTGGTTTTAATCATATTGATGTCACTTAAGAGTAACAAAGTTACGTATATCTAGGTTATAGCCTAAAATTTCCATGCCTAAAAATTATTCTAAACAAAATCAACGCTGAAATGAACAATTTTTTTGTACTTTCTCTTTTTCTTATAGTATTTGTTCCGTTAAATACTACTACCTATGTCCCCCTAAGTTTGGGACAAAGAGGTGTTGTGTTGTTTTTAAGAAAAAGTGGAATTGTGTGGTTGATTTGTATTGAACTGATAGTTTAAATAAAGTAGGAATGAATTATAACCACTCAAATATTACTAAATATGGTATGGGACGGACGAAAACGGTAAAACGGGACTAAGTTAGAAGGACGGAGGGAGTAACATTTTTTACTAAGATGCGTTTCGAACCCATGACATCCTCTTTGGGAGATTTACAATGATGTCATCGGATCACAATGTTAATGCCATGAACGTATATAAGATTCGATTTTACATGTTTTAATATGATATCTTCTAAATATAAATTCATTGAGAAGTGCTTCAATGCCACGTAGGAATAGATAAAACCTCTAAAGCATCAAACACCGCCGGTTTGATTCGTTTGAATCATACAAAACTAATACTCCGTATATTTTACATAAGAAATTGATTCTAATAAAGAATTGTATGTAAATAAATACACGCAATATATAAGCACACAACCTCTTACATGTCTGGGTCTTCCCATTTGGAGGATGATGTAGATGGGTTCATCCTTGTGCACTTCATAAAAATTAGTAAAGTGTTTGCAATAGTTATTCCATAATGTGCAGCCAATGCGATTTCCCCTACAATTAAAAATCAAATATCATCATGGGCGTATTAAAGACTACAACTCTCTCATATAACATACACAGTTATTTCTTAAGATTAGGACAGTACTCTGGATCTTCCAAAGTCAGTTCAATTAGCCTCTCAGGTTTCCCATTAACGATAGGTGTCTGTGTTGTCTTGCCTACGAACTTTCCAATAACATCTGAAGGTTAAAACTGTAGTGTTAAATGGTGAAAATTTAGTGAAAAACTGCTTACTTACAGAATATGAAATTACTGATTAGCAATTTGTCGTTGATGACCCTGAGACTCGGCAGCGCGTCAAATTGGTGAAAATTGTCCACGAAATTTGGAAAAGTTTCTGATTGCAGGTCAAATACTAGTTTTTTTTTGAAAAACTCCAACAGATAAGGGTGCTCTGTGGTTTTGTAGTTGTAATAGTTATCAAGAACTAAAAAGTTCTTGATTCTGAAACATTGGTTTTCCACCAGTTTGGTTCTATACAGATGCATGAACGGCCTTTTTCTGACTGCATAAATACGGCTCCCCTGCAAAGATACATGAATATAAGTATTATAAAGTTGAATGTTTGAGAATTAAAATGCTTGAGTATCAATTTAAAATTCATAAACGAATGATAAATCACCTCCGCATCGTGAAAAACTACTTCCAGCCTTGCACCTCCTTTGGAATGAGAGGGAACCTCATATGCACTTACCACCCCGTACTCTGAGAGCCCAAGTTGACGTAGTGTGGTCAACTTCCTTTATCATGGAATACAAATTACTGTTATTTGTCCGAGGGTTTTCCTTGCTTGTTGCCATGGTGTGATGGTGTGTTTGAAATGAGATTCACTTAGTGTATATAGGGAACTCAAAATTTAGGGTTTGCAATGAAACTGAATTACCCAATGTGTAATAATCTTCAGCCCTCCCAACTAACTCATTAATTGCTCAACCACCCGCATCAAATGTGTTTGACCACCTCAGTATTAAATTTGTTCCCATCAACACGTTTTCAATTGAGGAAAATGATGAAAATTTGAACTAAAAGCATTCTGGTCAACTGATGTGGACCCAATTCTTAAAAATCCGATTTTCACATACTTGACCCGTTTTTGACCCGGCGAAATGGGCGGGAAAAGTGGCAACAATTCCACTTCGCTTTGTATAGAGAAAGATATGTTGAATAGACCCTTAAAGAGCTGCCCTTAATCATGAGTGTTAAACAATAATTAAACACATCCGGATCTGACCACAACACTATGTTAAGATTCAGGGTTCCATTCTAAAAGATAAACCTAGTAGGATCGGAGGAGGAGCTCAAAGTTTTATATAATGTTTTTATTGTTTCATATTAATCAAGTATGGGACAATTACTTCAACAGGTCTCTCAGTCCAAACTAGGGTGGACAACATTGGAGTGTATATATGGGTCAAACAAATTTTTAACAAGCTATTTTTAATCATTAATGCTAAAACACAATCAAACTACAATGAATCTTCCTCTGATATCATGTTAAGACTTGATGTATTATCCTAAATGCTCAACCTCGTAGGAGTAGCGCAAGATCTTATATTATATTATTATTTTATACCAATCCGGATTGTGTGACAAATACTTCAACAATAGAGCATAGAAGTATAGAATCATTCATAAAATTGTAGCGCACCTGTAGTAAGTAACTTCTTAGACAGAAGAGTATGAGTGCACATATCATGAATTCTGTAACTGCTTGTTTTTACTCATCAATCCACATTAATACTGAAGCATACAAATATTGGCATCAAAGACACAATAAAACAGAGCATATAAACATTGACATATGTAGTCACTCGCAACATTAATGGATATCAAGCAAGATTACTAATTAGAGTTTGGAAAGTAATGGACAATTACGAAGTCACAATGGAAGAAATCATTGCTAGCATGATTACCCGTTCCTTCAATTTTTTCTCTCATTTCAACCACTTACTCAAAGTTCTAGCTATGGGAAAGAAAAGCAACCAATCGTCTTAATCTATTGGTTCAAGGAGTCTAGATTCTTCTTAAAAAAAAGAAGAACGTGAGCGGATGATGTTGCGCCTCAA